TATTTAAAAATTTATAATCCTTTTAAAGAACCAGATATTGTTAAATTCATTGCAATTCAGAGGTTAAAATGGGTAGGACAGCTGATACGATTCTACGATAATCGAGTCACAAAAAGATCTTTGTTGCAATACTATATGGTACTGGAAAAAGAGGAAGATCAAGTCTCAGGTGGATTTTTTTAATTGTCTAGAAAAAGATCCGAAAACTATTAATGTCAGAAACTGGAAAAGTCAGGCTAAGAAAGGACACCCTGGAATGGAATTTCTAGGAAGGGCAAGGTCCATCCTGGGCTGTCTTGCCATTGCGGAAGGAAGAAAGAAAATTTTTTTACATTGTCATCTGACGTCTGGACTTTCCATAACTAAGTTTAATACAAAGACTTTGGAATCGTAATGCTAAAAAATCTGACAGTGATCCTAAAACGACTTACAAACTGAATTCCTTTTTGTGATACGTATATACACAGATTTTTTTCTATTAGACTTATTCAGAAACTATAGATATTGAATAAAATAATGCTCAGAATTTTACTTTATTCTCATAATCCTTATTTTCAAAACGTTTTTTTTGTAATATTTATTTAAGACCATATTTTGTTCAATCAAAAAAGTTCACAAATGCATTAAAAAGCAAAGGGTACTAATATATACTAATAGTAATATAAACTGACAAAACTCAGGAAAATCTTTTTATTGTATTTATAGCATGAATTATTAACCCCATTCTTTATAAAAGTATACAAAAAAGATAATTCTTCAGCAAAAAAATATTGTCTGAAATGCATCAAAATTCTTTTATTTAAAAATGTAACGAATTGTACCAAAGTACGACATAACAAATAATGCGAGGACAATGACACAATAAAATAACTCAAAACATGAACTTACCCACAAGATAGACAGAAAAGAAAATCAAAATGATGGAGATCAGCAGACAACCATTAACTGAAAATATCACAAATTGGTTGATTTAAAAGACGTTACAGCATGAGTCATCACAAATCACCAGCCAAAACTGTGTGTGTTTCCGACTTCCTCCTTTTTCAAAATTACATTCTATCGCCAACCTACTGCACGTGTGCAACATGTAGCACGTGGAGCAATTCATTTCACGTGGAGCAAGTGGTGTAGAGTGCACGTGTAAAGTAGCACTCTTAACACCACTCTACAAAGTTGTGAGATGCTAGTTACATTGCTCTGCCTCTGCGCCTTATGCATTTTTATTTAAAGACTATTTATTTCTTACTTTGAGTTCTTCGTCATGAAACGACTCTGCTGAATCTACTTGCGTCTAGTTTGCATCATTTATGTAAAACAACAACGTCCTCGAAAAGATATGGAGGATAACTCTGTAGATAAACCGACAGCTATTTTTAATTGTTGTATGTCATTCCCGGAGCGATTTAATTGCTTCAAAAAGAAAAAATTGTATCTGTGCTCTACTTCGCAGCTTTTTGTTCTACATATATATGTGAACAGATTTTTTCTGAGATGTAAAGTATTTAGAGACCACAAAGAAATTGTTTAACTTAACATTAAGAATCGTGTCAGATTGAAAGTCAAAAATCCCCCCTCCCCCGATATAATAATATTAAGTAAAGCTTTGGACAGGGACAAGATTCGCATAAAAATTAAAACTTTTCATTTCACTATATTGTAGGAATATTTATATTTTTATTGTTTATTTCTTACCTTAATAAATACCTTTAAAGTATCCGACTACCCTAAAATCATGATTTTTTTTTTTAAATTTTAGAATTTTTTTTATGTTTTTATTTTATAGGCCATCTTATTAGCTATATAAAAATACGAAGTTTTTTTTTATTTTCCGTTCACTAGAACAAAAACTTCAAGTATTTTAGTAAAAGCAGATGCAAACTTTACATAAGTTGTCAAACTTTAAAATGCGTTTTACTCGAAATGTATTTTTTTCGAAAAGTTCACACGAGGATAGTGATTGCTCAAAAAGTGTTTAAAATAATTTGCTGAAATTTTGTATGTATGTTCTGTGTATAACAGTAGGTGTTTTAACCTTCAGATTTATCAATCACTGTTTTATTACCAAATTTGCAGTTCTTTATGTTAATATAATCACTGTTTTTTAAGCAATTTCATATAATAGCAAGCTAAAAAGGGGACTCTAGTTTTTGTAAAAATTAAAATTTCGCTTATACTGAAGGTCATTTCAAAAAGGAATATCAAAGTAATACATCGGCCGCCCATCCGGTATAATGGTTAGTAACACTGACTACGGTGCCGTAGGGTCTGGGTCGAATCCCGGGTAAGACATGGATGTTTGTGTTGCAATCCTTCTAATCTATGTGTGATTCACGCTTACTTCTATGTAAGACCCCGTATGATACTTTGTGGTGCACGGGGTAATAAATGTTCTCAATAAAAAAAAGTGAAAAATTGAGCATTTGTTCACTTACTCTTTACCCAGAGAAGGCCCGTTTATGTAATTTTTTCCCCACTTTAGTAGTAATAATTTATTTTTCTCTTCTTAATTTTAGCCTTTTTTTTTCTTTAAATGTGCTAAATAAATCTAACTCCCCCCCCCAAAATCTCCGTATATCCACTTTTTTTTTAAAAAAAAGGTGTCGTAAGTAGTGGGATACTTTAAAAGGGGGGTACACACTATATATAATATGTGTACAATTTTAATTTCTTATTTATGTTGAAGGAATAGCTATATTTTACGGTGCTTATTTTTATGATAATAAATATCTTTAAATGATGCATAATTAATGTGTAATAAAACTCTAAATATGTATTTTAGACCCCCCTCTATTCCCTAATTCTGTATGCATCGCTGTGGTAATCGAATTGTTTCAAATATTTTCTCCTGCGTGGCACCCTGAATCAAATTGGTATATTGGCTTAGCACATCACAACTAATGATTGCTGATCCCTTGTTGAGAATGGAGAGAAAGGGGAGTTTGCGGAGAGAAGTGAACGATCAGATGACAGATGAGCGCCTGGGGTTTCTCTACTCGCCTGTGGCAAAAGGGGGAGGCGAAACGCTCCGAAAAGGAAAAGAGAGAATTTCTCTTGGTGCGTTTGAAGAGATCAGACGGTTTTGAGAGTGTGCGATGGATAATTTAATTTTTTTTATGCACCCATGTAAATAGCTTAATAAATGTTTTATTTAATAAAGAAACACTCGTCTCTCTCGACACATAATTTATTTTAGACTCAGTTTATTGATTTGTAAATAAGTTCTGAATTGATATAGGACACCCCTATTCTATCTAATGCTGCCAATTTCAATTTTCAATCAAAACGCTTACGTTCTATTTACAGTTCTCTCTTTTAATCATTTTCCAAAATATTTTGTTTTCAAATATTAACGTCTATAACAGGGATGGCGAACCAGTGGCACGCGTGCCATTGATGGCACGCGGCTCAATATTTTTGGCAAGACAGTGTGATGAAAATGGTTTGTACTTTTTTTTTTTTAAATTTCTAAGTTCACTACAAAGTATTACGAACTGACGCAATTGATCGATCGCGGGGTGGCGTGGAGCATACTCGTTTGTTATTGTTTTGCCTTAACGTCGTAGACTACAATTACTTATGATGTTAAGTTTGTCTACGCATAGTATAGTCAATTTCATTGACACAACTGTATTTTAAAGTTTACCTGTGTTTTATTTAGATTTTCAACTGTTGTTTAACATGGCTAGCTCAGCAAAAAAAAAGTGCAAGATAGTAAGTAAATTAAAATTTGGTGGAACGAGAAACATAGCATTATATTAGTACAGGCGACAAAGCGGTGTGTGTTTTATGTTCTGGAACAGTGGTATGCAGAACATCGTCTGTGAAAGGGTATTTTAAAACAAATCACAAATCCTCTTCTCAAAAAAAAATCCACAGCAAAAATAATTAATTGCTTAGAAACCGTTCGGCAGATGACTCAAATTCATTATGTATTATACGAAAAGTAACATCTTACAATCAATCCTATTACAAGTTATTTCTCATCCTATCTGCGACAACAGAAGTCCCCCTAATGTTATTTTAATTTGTGAATTGCATGTATAGCTAAAACACGCACACACACACACACATTTATAACTATACAATGCCAAAAGGTATTTTTTCGTATTAAATAGTTTTGTGTTGTTAGCATTTAGTTATATTATTTTCCCAAAAATCACAAGTCAAAATTCTTTGACGGCACGTCTATACCTGTTTTAACACTTCTCTAGAAAGAAAGGCACGTCGATCCATAAAGGGTCGCCTTCCCTGGTCTATAATATATGATAATCTAGGACGTGTCTACTTTTTATAAGTTCATCGTTTACTTCCAGGCAAGTTTTAGTGACTTACTAGACGTAGTTTATTTTACAAATTATAAGCTCTGCACTGAATTTATCAATTCATTGAATGGGAGGAAATATATTTAAATGAAAGTATTTTACTTGCTGCGATTTTCATGATTTTATAAATTTTTCATCTTAAAATAGACATAAATGGAAAGAAAAAATGACATGTTTAAGAAATGGATAACGAAGTTTATATGAACAAATTAATGATAACATTATACGCATACCGGGATGTATAGAACACTTAAAAATATTATGAAAAGGAAATCAAATTGGAATAATTTGTTATTTTAGTTTCATCAATTGGTCTTTGATTTAATATGAACTAAATAAGATTAGCGCATTCACAGTTTTTTTATTGAATTCTTTTTTCAATTCCTACTATTAGTTCAGACTCTCCCTATATATATGTATGTATATATATATATATATATATATATATATATATATATATATATATATATATATATATATATATATTCAAATTTTCAATCGCTTATAAAAACTTTTCATTCATCCACTCAATTCCAAATACATTTTTTTAAGCTTTTAGTGGATGTGACACTTGATGTTAATATTTTTTCAAATATTAATTCATTAATTAATGATTAAATAGTAAGAAATAAAAATAATAGTCCAACACCATACATAAAAAGGAAAATCGCTAGCTGTGTCCCTGTTGCGCAATGGATATCGCGTTAGACTTCTAATCTAAAGGTTGTGGGTTCGATTCCCAACTGGGATGGCCTAACTTCTGAGAAAGTGATTCCATTTCTACTATACTATTTTATTAGAATAATTAAATTTAATTAATAAATAAATAGAGTAACAAACAAAAAAATAGCCCAACACCATATATAGAAATGAAAATGGAAAATTGCAAGCGAAATCGCTTTCTCTCTTTTGTCACTTAATATTGTGATTCTGTCACATGTATATACATATTTATATTAATTGCAACTTGTTAAGAAAAAGTAACTAAAAATTTTTTTCTTTTTTGATCTAAGTAGGAATTGACTTATTTTATATATATATATATATATATATATATATATATATATATATATATATATATATTGCTTGTTTTACTTTACTTTGCACGGAAATATTTTATTCCTTTGTGTATTTCTTTGAAAGGCATAAACTACAAAAAATGTCGTCCATTCGGTATAGTGGTTAGTAACGCTGTCTGTTGTGTCGTAGAGTTTGGGTTTGAATCTCGGAGAAGACATGGATGTTTGAAAATATATAGCGCCTTTGAGGCATTCTAAATGATCGTCGAGCCGTAAGTCATCTCGAGAGGCTCCTGACAGCTTCCCAGGTGTTCTCCCACACATTTGGGGTGGATAGAATCGAGCCAAGTCACACTGTCACTTGCATGGTGATCAAAGCTGCAGCTAACGCGACAGGTATAAAACTAGCCTCTTGTCGTTTTCATAAGCAGCGATCAGGTGGCATTAGTAATAACAGCATTCATTTTTAACACCCTTTTATAAGCTTCACCTGCATAAAATGGAATCTTTGAACTCAATTTTTACCCACTTTAAAAAGGTCAAATTAATTCGAAATTTTGCTCACTTGTCAAGGACAGATGATAATACAATAATTTAATAATTTTGTTCCACTATCCTGATAAGAATCATCAGGATTAACAACTTCCCATTTCCAGATTTGGCGTCTAATTCCCGATCCCATTTATATATTTGACGACTAAAAGATTAAGTTACAACCCTAAAGCGAAAACATTCACGTCAGCAATTTTTTACCGTAATCTAAGCAATTGTCCAGTTTTTCAGGAAATTGAAATAAATAAATGATAGTTTTAAAAATCGAAAAACACACTTTCATTGTAGAGCGAACTAAAAAATTAAAAATAAATCATAGTTTAAAAAACTAAAAAACACGCTTTTATAGTTAATCGAACTGAAGAGTAAAAAATAATTCTTAATATAAGGATAAAAAGATTAACGAGAAAATTAATTGTGGTAAAAGTGGGTGGGGTCCTCGTTTTATTGATTGTTATAATTTCTTACCAGCTCTATTCCAAAATGTATTCAGTTACTGTAAAAATGTAGTTTGAAGTAGCCCACGCGCATTTATCACAATGACATTAATTTTCTCGAAAATCATTTTATTCTTATATTAAGAATTATTTTTTTACATTTTTGTTAAAATAACTATAAAAGCGTGTGCTTTTTTAGTTTTTTAAATATCATTTATTAATTTATATATAACTCCTTTTTTTACTTCAGTTTGTATGGCAAGGATTTGAAACATTTATTCCTGTATGTGTTTCTTTAAAAGAAATATGCATTAAGCTACAAAATATACCTGAAAGTTTTAAAGGGTTGAATGGAAATTTTTTTTTAATATGTATACAAAATTTTTCCTCTTTGATATTTCCTGAATCGGGTAAGAGAAGTTAACAGTTTACCACATTAATAATTTAATTTAAAAAAATTGAAATATCTTTGCTTTTTTCTGTTAAAGACTTCGACACAAATTCATCTTACTTAATAATTATTTTACTATGCTTTAAAAAATTATTTTTCTATATTACTTTAATTTATATTTTTTAAACCTATCGATGCTTGCAAGTTATCGTCAATAAGATCAACCTTCTTCGCCCAGTTCATTGTTAAAATTTTTTTTTTAAAACTTCCTTTAGGATTGCTACCTTCTCCTTTTTGTCACCTTAAATTATTGGAATACTTATCTTTAACGGTCAACTTGGTGCCATAGATATAGCGCGCCCGCCTCGTAGGCCCAAGGTTGCGGGTTTGATCCCGACTAGAGTTAATAGATTTTCTGGATGCGAAGATCATAGACATGCATGTCATGATTATGCGACATGTAAAACATACCTTGAGTATCAATTTGGCGTTGGTACTCTAGACAATATTGAATAATGAGAGCTTGAATTGAATAAATTCAATTGTCAAAAGTTTGGTAGCTTAAGCAGCTACTAGATGGTACCACCAATGAAATGGCTCTCGCACTTGGGGACTTGCTGTGTCTGTAAAAGCTTAACTGTCAATACGCAGCCCAATTGAAAAAAAAAAACTTGTTTGTAACAAGAAAGTGTCATCAGTTTCTTCAGTAATTATGGAAGAAGCGAATTTTTTTCGGCATATGTAATATATATGTTTGAGAATGATGAATTTAATTGCATAAGCAACATTAGTAGAAATAATGGAATGGATGCATACATATTTTGCATATGTGACATCCAGGCGTTCACACAGAAATTTTTCAGGGGGGCAGGATAAAAATCCGCCATTCTCATGCGGCCGCGGTAGCCTAATGTTTAAGGTATCAGATCGTGGCTGGCTTGTTACGAGTTCTAGACCAGGACCACTAAAGACCCGCCGTGTAGGGGAGCGATGCACGTTAAATCTGTCAAGAGCTCAAACGTCCTCCCGTTGGTGTGGTGTGGTAGTTAGGAGAGGGGGGTGCCTGCTCATATGTCGTCCGCGTCACTTGACCATGGTTCAAAATTACGAGGTCCGTCGCCAAAAGCCCTTGTGTAGCTGAACAGTGTGACGTTAATATTCACTCACTCACTCACTTGTTCAAAAACTAGTTCCACTTAGCAATCATTTCTTCTTCATCAAATTCAAACTTAACATAAATTAGTTAAGACCCTATTAACCTTATTTGTTGGTAAAAAACAGAAAAGAATACCCAATTTACATTAATTACTATGATTTTAGATCATTATGAAGACGTTAAAGCCATAAAATAATTTCCGTGCGCCAGATTGGGAAAACTGCCCACTGTGCGACGTTAATATTCTCTCACTCACTCAACCACCATTCTCGTATCTTATCCCAATCCCACTCTTTTGGTTTTGTCAATTTTCGGGAACAAAAAAACAGTAATTAAATAATTAATAATTGGTGTAAGTAAATAAAATTAATTATGAATAACAAATACTTAATTAAATTCTACGTTCTACATGCATAGGATTATAAGCAATATCGAAAAAAAATCAAGGGCTTTCGGGGGGGTCGGATTCGAGGACTCCCTTTCCCCCTTGTGTGGGCCAAAGGTGACATCTCATGTTGCTATCACAATCTTGCAATTAATTGACCTCGTAAGTATTTTTGAAACAATCCATTTCATACATTGCACTTCTGCGGTGGAATAATCTTTCATTAGATTTTTCTTTTTAATTTGCTCTCCTATCTCTGATATTTTTAACGGGTATTGCATAATTTTTTTAATATTTTAAAATTCTTTTAACAAAGTTTCCTATTCGTAATTTGACTTTTTATTTAAATATTTAAAACAAAATATTATGTAGCAAAAAGTATTTATCCCAAAATAGAGTTAATAGAAACGTTAACGAATTATAAAATCACTAGCTGGTATATCCGTTCTTCACACGGGTGAACTGAAAATTAAAACAACACAGATTGAAGGATAAAGAAGTTTTTAATGAGTTAATTTTATGTGAATTGCAAATTAAACAAAAAAAGCTTTTTGCATATCTCAGCTGAACAAAAAAAAAAGGAAAGAAAAAAACACACATTTGTTAAAGTTTAAGTCTGTGGATCTAATACCCGATAAAAAGGATTTTTTTTATTTATAACTCCCCGTAACACTCTTGAGGGTCGATTTTTGAAAATACCTCCCTAAGTTGATCTCTGCTCAGCAAAAGTAAACCATTGTTAAAAGTTTTGTGCAATGAACGCTTAAAATAGAGTAAATTATTTATATCTGAAAATTTAATACATTAATATTACTTTCTGTTGTATTTATTTTATGTTAAAATTGTAATACTCGCAAGCAACACCATTTCTTAAATTATAATGACAATTCAATGAAAAACATAGCGAAATGTTGACGATAAGAGTCAAGTTGGCAATTGTCTAGCTACTTTCATAGTTCGATCTTTATTAGAGCTTTGTAAGACCTGCCATTTAGGGGAGCGATGCACGTTACTAATGCTTTATCTACCGCATTATGATTTACTGCAGTTTTTTTCATGCAATATTTTTTTTTTTATCACTACATTGAAAAAAGATATTCCACTGAAAAATTAATTATATACACCGTTCATTTAAAATAAATAGTCAAATCGTTTTCTAAGGTCTTCATTAACATATAAAAACATGAGACACTTAAATTTTGACATTAACAATTTTTTCGGGACAAAAATGATTATCTTTGCAATCCGCTGAAAACGCCGTCAGCTGAAAATGCAATATCTGCTACAAAAGTATTTGTCTTCCCCGCTAAAATACCCGTCATGGAGCCCTTGCTGCCATATATATTGGAGAAGTGGATTTCAAAGAATATTCCTGCTAAGTATTGGTAGAATATTCCTGCTAAGAGGTGTGGTGTGGTAGTTAGGAGAAGGTGGTTCCAGCTCAGCTGTCGTCCACGTCATTTGACCATTGTTCAGAATTACGTGGTTCGTCGCCAAAAGCCCTCGTGTAGCTGAACAGTGCGACGTTAATATTCACTCACTCCAAAAAAGACAGTACAGTAGTTATAACTATTTTTATACTTAAAAATGCAATATCTGCCTATTCAATTAAAATTGTAACGTTATAATTAACTACTAACCACAAGCAAATTTTGAAAATTTGTGCAATTCATGTAGTGTGAAAGAGAAAGCTTATTTACTTTAAGTAACAGAAGTGATAATAGTACTTATTTTGAAAAAAGATCAATTTCTTACTACCAGATGTGCATAATAAAATCATAAAAAAATATATTCAAATAAAGAGAGATTTA